CCCAACCCCCCCCCCCCCACCTTTGAGAGCCGAAAATATACGTGTATATGTGGCACACTGTAATATGTTGACTCTCTCCATCTTTCTCCCTCTGTCCTACAACAACACAGACACTCTCGGCATTGTTTATCGTTGAAATCCACCCCTTCGACCCTTTCCAACACAAATGCGGAGAGCCTCAGCCGTTCTCTCGCGCGAGCCACTATTAATTTACTTGCTTAATAATACCCGCGTGCGGCGCGAGAGACCAGCCTTCCTCCACTTCATCCATTCACCTCATCCAACCTCTCTGGCATACACTCACCGCTGGATGCTTTTGGGGTTCTCTTTGTGTGTCTACTGAGCCGCACCAACAGACCAGAGAGGGACAACTCCGAGCCCCGCCATTGTTTCACGTCTGAATCACAAAAGTTTTTCCAACCCTCTCTCGTGTATCAGCCACTTCAGTGTCCATCCTCCAGGCTGTTCAATTTTTACTTCATTCAACGGAGTGTGTTTCATACAGTTTAGTTATTTCAATTCGAATTTGATGATATTGAGGAGTGGTCGGGGACAATAACAGAGAAAACCCCTTCGTTGTAGCCTCGAGGCTGCCGGGTTATTCCACGGCCAGACCCTGACGCTTCTTTTTTCACTCTTTCGATGGTGTGAGAGCCTCCACGACACCCTCCAGGCTTGTTCCCTCTTTTTAATTCACTCTCAACTTTTTCGAGTTACATAAAATTCCGAAGAGGATTGTTTTTATTTTATTACCCCGGAGATTTCAACATGAAATTTATATCAATGATCGTTGGTACGATGCTGATACGAGGGGCTTGCTGGCCATAGCTTTTGAATACGATCAGGGGCTTCATGGGGGGATAGTAATTACGCCCGTTCTGCCAATATTGGTTAACCTTTCGAGGTTGACGCCACCATATGCAAAGCCCCTAATGAGTCGGCTCGAGTGGAGGCCCCCGGTTGCTGCTCTCACCAAGCCTAGTATTACCATTCTCCTCATCCTCTTCACTCGCTCGCGTGTAGCAGAGCATCGTTATTGCCTATCCAACGTATCCAGTCATCTCTGGAACCAGATTTTTGCGTTTCACAAAATGAGAGAACCTCGCTACCTCGTACCCCTGTACAGCTGCAAATCGTTATACATTCTGTATGCCATTTTTTTTTTAATCCCCCCCCCGTGTCGACCTTTGCGAAACGGGAGCCGTTTCATTCGATTTTGCACTCACGGACTCTCCATGGCCCTTCTCTGCAAAATCGTTTTTTGCTCTGAATGGAGCACCGCAATATTGAAAATCCTCTCGTGGGCTAAATTCAAAGCGGTTAACTTTTGTTTAAGAGGCGGACGGTCGATAATGTTTTGCTGGTTATGTCGATACGAGATTTTATGGCGGGGGAGGGAGTAAGAGGAGAGGAAATTAGCCCTTGATGCTGTAGTTGCACAGGTTGAACTGGAAATTTTAACATAAAATTGTATTTAGAATCGATGGTGATGAGTGAGCCCGGAGTTGGAGAGTGCTGGCTGGTTTTCCATGTTTCAACATGAAAAAATAATATTAATTGATGTGATATACATGCAGATGGAACAATCGTGCCGATGCAGTCGAACGATTCCTCTCACTGGCACGCAATGCCTCTTGTTATGCAAATAGAGAGGCCGTGGGTGGAGATATAATGACACTTGGGGAGCTATGTAGACTTGTAGATGATCGAGAGATTTGAATTGGAATTAAAATTCAGTGAATTCGTTTGTTTATTGTTGTTATTATCGTATTGTTGATATGATTTTTTTTCAATTTTTTTATCTTCCTTTTAGAGGTTATTTGTTGCAAGGGAATTCAAGCAACAAATATTTTATTTTCTACGGAATTGAATGGTTTAATCTATCCTCTTCCCCTCTTTTGTAAAATAAAAGGAAAGTTGATTGTCATTCTCTAATGTTTGGGAATAACTTCATGCGTGATCCACTTTTATTCTATGATTGATTGTGGAGAACTGTCAATAAATACGCCCCTTCAATTTATCCTGAATTATTTCTTAATTAAATACAACAATATTATGGATAGCTGATTTGAAAAATCGTGATGAATGACATGAGACGAACTAATACGACATTTTTTGTAATTTCTGATGGAACTGGTGTTGATTTGATATAGTTTCCTGTGTGGGGTATTTTTCACAGGAGATTCAGATAAAAATTACGGAATGCTCTGGAAAAATTCCGTGACAGTTCCGTAAAATTTCCTACAACCACATTTCGCTCTGGAACTACGAAAAAGATATGTAATTTTTATAGAATATTTCTCTCCGTGTATCAAATCGAGAGATGATTTAGTGGTCGTTCTGCATGAATCATCAGCTTTTTGTTCAAGCAACCAGATAATTCAAGATAAAGTACAAATACAATGGCCTCGATCGATTTCCCAATGCGCATTTCATGCCCCTTTTCTTTCTCGTCTCCTTTCTCACAATTTTTTTTCACTTTATTTTTTTCCCTTTTCTTGCGGGCGCGAGAGTGAATGCGCGCGGTTTTATTGGAAAGGAACAGGAGCCCCAATGCGGCCGCCTTTCCCTTGTCTGGGGAGGGAGTTTAATAGAGGGTGAAAACCGCCTCCCACTTTCTTTCGTCTCACCCAGGCACCCACCCTCCCGCCACTGAGTTTCCTTCTGCTTTTCCGTCCACGGGTAGGAGAGCCCAGACAATTCCACTCCCGTTGGATTTTTCTTCCTACTCTTTTTCCTGCCTGGCCAAGTCATCAAGCAATCTCTTGGACAAGCTCCACTCTGTGGAGGAAGGGGGCCCGAGTAATTCTTCTGTTTGCGGGACGGAAGTGGCAAACTAATCGTCGACTCGGCAATTTGATTTACCCTCTTCAATGTTTTTTATACCCAAGTTTCCTCGTTTTTTCCTTTATCTCCCTTCATGAATATTTCTCTTGGTAGTTTTCAAGTTTTTATTATAGATGAAGGTGTTACAGATGTTTGGACAGCATTTTTCCTCACTGTTGAAGATTTTTGTACGAATTTTTTCTGTTAAATTGCGGAAATTTTGAGCGAGTGGCATTTTCACGGATTCTCAAGACATATCGTTTATCATAATTCGATCAGAAAAATACTGCACGGAGAGAAAAGTTGGAGAAAAATTACCTATGATATCGTGGCAAATTTTACAGTATGAAAGTTAGTCGTGGAACGGAATGTAATTCGATGAAAAAACACTTGTTTGTGGAGAATATAAAAAATACCCTATTCCACACCGATAGGGTATTTTTTTTGTTGCCATCCGAAGGTCATGGGGATGAATTTAAGTGAAATTTTACAGAACGCGTTCGGCAAAAAATCATTCTCCGTTACAGAAAAATTATACGCAATATTGAACAATCATTCACGTTTACTGAAATAATTTTTGATGGAATGCAGGGTAAATTTTATAGTTTTGGCATAAATTACCCATTCAGAAAATGTTGCCGGACCAACGGAGAAAAATTCGTTATTCGTTTCGCACCACTTTTCCCCTGATATAGGGTGAAAAAGTACTGAAAAACGAGTTCACTCCACAATTCAGTAGTGAAGCGGTAAACCGAGTTAAGTCGATTTGGACTATTAGCCAGTTTTTGCTGAATATCTCGGAATCTAAGAGAGATAGCAAAATTTTTCTCATAACTTTTTTTATAACGCTCTATTGGCTCTACAAAAAAGGTCATGACAAAAATCGTTCTATCTCTTTTAGATTCCGAGATATTCGTCAAAAACTAGCCAATAGTAAAAATCGACTTAACCCGGTTTACCGCTTCGCTACTGAATTAGTTCACTTATTTGATAATTTTTCTTTAACACTTTTCCGTGTGGGCGCTATAATTTCACTTCAATTATTACTTGAAAAAATTATTTTGCAACTCAACAATCAATTCATGTTCAATGAGGAGAGAAACCACGAAAACCGGCACTTACCGTTCAACTAAAGCTATATTTTTCCAAATCACGAGTTAATTTCGTGGAGGTGGTCTTACTTGCAGTCAAACGAGTGTTCAATCAGCATATATTTTACAAATAAAGACCCTTAATCCAACAA